ACAACCAAATGTCACATGTTGCCTTATCATTTTTTTGATTGGCTGACATGGTAAACTCTAACACAAATAGGGAAGGGGCATTTTTTCTTTTTCTTTTTTCACTCACAAGCGGAGAGTGTTTGCTAGTGCTGTTTGTAGAAAACGCCGTTTTTACCGTCCTTCCTGCTGTAAACACCACTGTTTTGTTCGGAAAAAAACATCGCGTGTATTTTTTATCATAACTCTGGTTTTACGTGGCCCATCGGCACAATTCAAAAACTGGTATATAGTTTGAAGTCCGCACTTTCGACCCAACTTGAAATGGAGACTCTGACGTGCTGCATCTTGTAGCTGTGTCGTCTTAAATTGGTCATGTGATTTTGACGCGCCGGCGCGTCCGGCGACCCCAGAGGGTTAAATGAAATATCTTCTTTACAAGTATTGCAAGTTGCCCTGTTGTCATTCGTTCTTGTAAAGTATAACCAAACTTTTGAGCGTTTGAGCCGCTTAGGTGCCATGTTTCCTGCCAGGTAAATGACGCTCCGCAATGTGGTGACGTCATTCGGGGTGACTGAAATCGATAAGGGAATCATTTGCAAAAATGCCAAACAATTCCAAAGAATTGAAACGGTGGGAACCAGTTCTCAACAAGAACCAGGTTTCGATACCCATCCCTAAGTGAGACGTTGAAGATGGTAGTGAAAACCTCTGCTAGTTGGTCTGCACATGCTTTAAGCACTCTACCAGCTACACCATCAGGACCAGCTGCTTTCCTCGCGTTGACTCTGCGCAGTGTGGCTCTAACCTGATGCTGCTCCAGCTGGATAGGGGTGTCGTTCCTCTCTGAAACAGCAGGATGGATGATGGTGTCCCTGTTTTGTCGGTCAAAGTGAGCGAAGTAGGTGGCCGATTTTCTGTGAGCGGCGTTTGCTGGGCTACGGCTTGGGTGAGCTTGGTGATTTGTCCTCGGAGATGAGTAAACATCTGCTCATGCCATTCCAGCATGGCCGGCAAAGTCTGCTGAGTCCATGGTGGCTGGATGATTCCGTCACGAGTTAGGGAGGACTCAGGCGCAGACGGGATTTGATCTAATAAAGCGGTTTATTTACAGGTCACCAAAGTGCAAACTATATACAAGTGAAGAGGGAAACCACGGGTCCAGGGTCCAAAAGGCCAATTGGGGAAGAGGAAATCCTCTCACACTATCCCACATGCTGTCACACTTGTACTCCACACAGGAAAGTCAGTTGGTCTGGGCAAATTGTACACAAAAAGGATTAATTAAGTTGTAGGTACCATCATTTTTGTCTAGGCCTGTTCCATTAGTTTATTTTTTTTAATAATTCTGTTGAAGCATGATTGAAAAGCAATGTCTGATTTTCATTGGTTAACATTCATATAATTTTTATTTTGTATATATTACTTTAGTCAGATTAAAGTTATTTCTGTGACAATTGTGAGTTTTTCTGTCATTGACCGACAATTTTGACCACGTGTTTAGTTGACTCCCTGGAATATGTAACATAGTAAATTGCTAGAGTGCTTGACTGCAGCTTAATAGGTAATAAGAGAACCAGAAGTAAGTTCGGCTAAGGAGCCTGGGTGTGTGAATAAGACACAAACAAGAGAAATAGAGCTTTGTGAGGTTGATAGGGCATATCTTCAAACAGAGAAAAAAAAGCAAACTATTATAAACAATAATAATAATAATGAGATTGATGATAATAATAATAATAATAATAATAATACACAAACCAAACCATTTGGTCCTAAAGGAAGTGGGAAGAATTTCACTCCAGTTTATTTGACCTATTATAGGCCATGTCCCAAACATTTTAAATTCATGTGTTGGTTTGTGTGGATTTGACAGGTCCTATGGCAATGCCGTTGCGGTCAGGCAGCTCACCATCCTGCATTGATCAGGACTCTGATCGCAGGAAAAAGGTCAAAAAACAAAAAAATAACAATTACATTTGAACATTTTTCTACTGTCATCACAAATAAATAAATCTATAAATAACGCAAATAATTGATGCTATATTTCATACAACAAACAGTGACCAAACAAGTCATAGCATTTCATTCATATAATGAATTTCATTCAAAAATAATGGTAAAGTTGGATATATTTATGGGTCCCACCAAAGTAAAGTAAATTGCTAATAAGGCTAATAAACATTATTCAAACAGTCAGAATTGTTAATTGTTTGTTTGTTATGCAGCATCTTCAATAATCTAAATGAATTCAAGTCAATTAAAAAGTACCATAAGCTAGCCAACCACAGAGACAGAGACAGCAACAGCGATGAAGCAGGGGAAATCCAGCAGATCACCCTGAAAAGTTCACTCCCACCACAATAACCGGATTGCTGGAAGTGGGGTCTGATTTCACATTAGTTACATATAACTCTCAAGCACGCACCTTAAATGAAATAATTAACATGGGGAGGAATTGGTGTCTCCCTAATTTAGAAAATCATCATTTAGCATGGTAAAGCGTCCATAGAGTTAGAAAATCTTACATCTTATGTAGTTTACATCAGTGATGTAAAAAAAATAAAATAAATAAAGATAGGAACAAGCACTACAGCCAGGCTGAAGAAAAGAAAGAATAACCTATAACCATCTGAAAGATGTAACATTATGTACAGCTATTTCCATTACAGCCATTTCTGTAACATTGATATTTATTTAGACTCTTTTCTGTAATTGTTCTTTCTAAGTCACAGTGGGATGCAAAAGTTTGGGCAACCTTGTTAATAGTCATTATTTTCCTGTATAAATCATTGGTTGTTACAATAAAAAATGTCAGTTAAATATATCATATAGGAGACACACACAGTGCTAGTTGAGAAGAGAAATGAAGTTTATTGGATTTACAGAAAGTGTGCAATAATTGTTTAAACAAAATCAGGCAGGTGCATAAATTTGGGCACTGTTGTCATTTTATTGATTCCAAAACCTTTAGAACTAATTATTGGAACTCAAATTGGCTTGGTAAGCTCAGTGACCCCTGACCTACATACACAGGTGAATCCAATAATGAGAGAGAGTCAATTGTAAGTTTCCCTCCTCTTTTCTCTGAAGAGTAGCAACATGGGGGTCTCAAAACAACTCTCAAATGACCTGAAGACAAAGATTGCTTACCATCATGGTTTAGGGGAAGGATACAGAAAGCTGTCTCAGAGATTTAAGCTGTCTGTTTCCACAGTTAGGAACATATTGAGAAAATGGCAGACCACAGGCTCAGTTCAAGTTTAGGCTCGGGGGGGCAGACCAAGAGAAATCTCGGATAGACAGAAGCGGCGAATGGTGAGAACAGTCAGAGTCAACCCACAGACCAGCACCAAAGACCTACAACATCATCTTGCAGCTGATGGAGTCACTGTGCATCGTTCAACCATATGGCACACTTTACACAAGGAGTCAGAGGAGCTTGCAAAGAACCTTCACAGACATTTTACACAAGGAGATGCTGTATGTGAGAGTGATGCAGAGTGAAGCCTTTTCTCCGCCCACAGCACAAACAGAGCTGCTAAGGCCCATTTGGACAAGCCAGCTTCATTCTGAAATAAGGTGCTGTGGACTGATGAAACTAAAATTGAGTTATTTGGGCATAACAAGGGTTGTTATGCATGGAGGAAACAGAACACACCATTCCAAGAAAAACACCTGCTACCTACATTAAAATATGGTGGTGGTTCCATCATGCTGTGGGCTGTGTGGCCAGTGCAGGGACTGGGAATCTTGTCAAAGTTGAGGGACACATGGATTCCACTCAGTATCAGCAGATTCTGGAGACCAATGTCCAGGAATCAGTGACAAAGCTGAAGCTGCGCCGGAGCTGAATCTTTCAACAAGACAACAACCCAAAAAACTGCTCAAAATCCACTAAGGCATTCATGCAGAGGAACAAGTACAACGTTCTGGAACGGCCATCTCAGTCCCCAGACCTGAATATTATTGAAAATCTGTGGTGTGAGTTAAAGAGAGCTGTCAATGCTCAGAAGCCATCAAACCTGAATGAACTAGAGATGTTTTGTAAAGAGGAATGGTCCAAAATACCTTCAACCACAATCCAGACTCTCATTGGAACCTACAGGAAGCATTTAGAGGCTGTAATTTCTGCAAAAGCTCATTTTCTTCATTGCATCAATTTCTTCTTCAGCAAATTTCAGCTATTGCTTAGAGGGCATTAAAATGGCAGACAATGTGGTATTTAGTGGGTTTAATTAATTCAGAAGGAGGTGAAAGATGGCTTGATATAGGCAAATTTTGTGTGGTCCCTGCTGGTGGTGTGAGCTGTGGATTTGGAGTGACTCGGTTTATTTACATAGATCATATTTTGGGTCATAAGCATCAACAAGGGAAGATCATCAGTAAACTAACTATAGACTAAAGCCCGACTCACAGATACATGTGATGTGTGTTACAAAAAAAGGAAACACGAAAGGAAGAGGTAAAGGATATTTTCTGGAGAGATGGAAGGGAGAGGAAAGAAAGAAAAAGTGTGGGAGCAGGGGAGAAGGAAACTAGGAAGGGGTAAAAAGGAAGTTTAGTAGAAATTGAGCAAGGGATACAAGAATTTAGAAAATTTAACGCAAAGTAAAATCAGTGTAGTAAACCCTTAAAAAATATGTGATTATTAGGCTCATGTGCTGCCCTATAGTTATTACAGATTTGTTGTGTGAAAAAATTAATGTTTTTGTATTTGGATTTTTTGGTATTTTGATTTCTAACAATCAGGAAAATAATATAAAATAGTTAAAGTAAGCTTTAAAATAAATAGGGGTGGACAATAATATTTCAGTGGCGTCTTTAGCTGTCCATGTCAATAACTAACTCTAAATAAGATTTCAAAAAGAAAAAAGAAAGAGGGAAGTAATGAAGGGAAAATGTAAAGGAAGAAAGAATGAACATAAAATCAAAACATGAAAAAATAAAAAAATGCAATAAACAGAAGGGGAAGAAATGACAAGCAATATTTTAACCAGTGCATAATCCCATTATCTTCACAACAGGTGTGCTGTTGTATGGACCCCCAGGATGTGGTAAAACACTGATCGCAAAAGCAACAGCAAAAGAGGCAGGCTTTGCTTTCATCAACTTGAAGATGAGCACGCTGACACATAGATGGTACGGAGAGTCCCAGAAACTGACTGCTGCTATGTTCTCATTGGCGACCAAACTAGCCCCAACAATCATCTTCATCGACGAGATAGGTTAACAACACACACACGCACGCATGCACACACACTTGCTCGTTCAGCCATCTTAGTGAGGACATTCATCGACATAATGCTCTCCCTAGCCCCTTACTAAATTTAGAAATACGGAAATTCAAAACACTGGTATGTGCTTTTCAAATAAACAAAATAAAAAATATAAATGAAAATGAAAATGATAAAGAAACCAATTTTGCTTTCTATGAATTTGATGTGGCGAGTGGCAGCTCAGAGTACCCAGCCTTTTTAGAGTCCCTGGGTGGGGTAATTCAATTCAATTCAATTTTATTTATATAGCGCCAAATCACAACAAATGTCGCCTCAAGGCGCTTCATAGATACAGAGAAAAGCCCAACAATCATATGACTCCCTATGAGCAAGCACTTTGGCGACAGTGGGAAGGAAAAACTCCCTTTTAACAGGAAGAAACCTCCGGCAGAACCAGGCTCAGGGAGGGGCGGCCATCTGCTGCGACCGATTGGGGTGAGAGAAGGAAGACAGGATAAAAGACATGCTGTGGAAGAGAGACAGAGGTTAATAACAGATATGATTCAATGCAGAGAGGTCTATTAACACATAGTGAGTGAGAAAGGTGACTGGAAAGGAAAAACTCAATGCATTATGGGAATCCCCCGGCAGCCTACATCTATTGCAGCATAACTAAGGGAGGATTCAGGGTCACCTGGTCCAGCCCTAACTATATGCTTTAGCAAAAAGGAAAGTTTTAAGCCTAATCTTAAAAGTAGAGATAGTGTCTGTCTCCCGAATCCAAACTGGAAGCTGGTTCCACAGAAGAGGGTACTGGAAGCTGCTCCGCCTGGAGACTCTGTTGTCCTACTGGGAGACTGCAATGCTCATGTGGGTAATGACAGTGAGACCTAGAGGTTTGTGACTGGGAGAACAGCCTCCCTGATCTGAACCTGAGTGGTGTTTTGTTATTAGACTTCTGTGCAAACCACAGTTTGGCCATAGTGAATACCATGTTTTTGAACATAAGAGTGTCTATAAGTGCATGTGGCACCAGAACACTCTAGGCCGCGGGTAGGAGGGGGGCTGAGCTGTCAACTGATCACCACCTGGTGGTCACTAAGGCAGTTAATCACCCTTTGTCACAGATTCTGTTCATAACTTTTATGGTGTTCCAACCTAATTCTTTTATCTTTGGGCTGAAGGAAGGACAGCACTCTGTGTTTAATGCTCAATCAACAATCTCTTTAATCCATACAATTCTCTTTATTCCATACAAACACTTTAAGCCATAAAATTGTCCAGACAGGAGATGCGCGCAGAGAGGGTGTCTCGCAGATCTCGAATCTTCTGACAGTTACACACATTCTTATAGCCTCCCCCGCCCAAGTCATAAAACCTAAGCATTCAAATTCTCCCTCTCAGTGAGCTTCAGTTACAACCTTGGCTTCCTGTGCAGTGTTTTGTTCTCCCTAATCAGAGAAATAAGGCCATGATTCTATGCAAGCAGTATTTCTTTACAAATCAGCAGTATAATGCATCATAAAACAGTGTAATATTCCACAATGTACATGGGGATTTTCACAGCTCAGCATCCAAAAGCAAAATATGCTGGGGCAGTCCCAGCAGCACACATTTATACACAGACATCAACAACCTTTGTCTCTCAAACCTAGGTGCCTGCTGATCCCTCTCCTGCCTCCCTATCTCGTGTCCTTGCTGCCCACTTCTTCGCACACTATGTTCTCCTTGCTTTGGTTTACCAACTCCTTATCCCACTAACGGCAACTTTCTGTCACCTCTGCTTCTCACGTACACCTCTGACCTATTCTCCCAATTCTATGTGTGTGCTCTAAGTATGAATGTTTAGTAGCTTGACCTATGACCTACTTAAAGGAATAATGGATATACTGTTTTACTATGGTTAATACAACTAAATCCCTAATACTATGATGATAAGTCACCTCACTAATCAAAAATGAAGGCTGTGGTGGACCCTTTAACGTGGTCCACTTCCATACTTCCCTAATAAGACAGACACATATCCCTTTTTACTGCTCTTTTTTCACATGGTTGCGGGATGCTCTTTGGGGTCAAACAGTTTGCAAATAATAAAAATCAAACTTACAATAAAATATTAATGCGTGCAAGTGTGTCCAAACAAAGCTTACTTTCCCTTAAAACCATCACCCCTGGTGTCCTTTCCCTTTCTCTGTACATAGAGTAGAACCTCTCTCTAAGGAGCTTTTGACCTTCCTATTGCTAACACCCAGTGTCTTCCGATGTCGGGTGATTCTCTGTGCTCCTCTCCTCTTCCTGCTTCAACCTCAGGGGTAGACTACTCTGAGGTATTTTCCACAGACCTCGGTTTTATTTTGCCCCTGTTGTTGAGCTATGGGAGTAATGGTGTTTGAGGTCTGGGATTTTTCTGACTCAGCCGAGTCAGGGCTTCGGGCCTCCTTGTTCTGGTCCTTCTGAATTCCCAGAACAAGAAGGTCCTTCTGAGAAGGTCCTTCTCTTTGTGGTTATTGCTGTGGTTCTACAATCCTCTCTAGGTGACTAGCAGGACCTCCGACGTCAATTTCTGTCCAGGCCGTCTCCTGTACCTAGAATGATTTGTGTTTCTCACTGTTTCTCTAGGAAAAATCTGGTGTTTTGAACACTAATGGGTCATTATAATCATAAGTTTTTCTGTACCTGAACTCTTAAATATACAAATCACCTTAAAGTCATAAAAAAATTATCATAGAAACCATTGTTTTATGTTAAAGCTGGAATTCTTTGCAACCCTGTGTTAGGAAATGAAATCAGTATGGTTTTCATGCGAAATCGGTTTAACTCCAGGAGCCTACATCCACACCGTACCTGCCTAGAAACAAAACCTGTGAGTTAATATTAACTTCACTGTCACGGTTTGCCAGGGCAAGCCGTGAGGGATGTTGGAGAAAGGACCCAAACGCTGGACTTATTTACAGTGGGGGTAAATGTACACCACAGTCTCCAGAGTGCTCCCTCAACTCCTGTGTCGTGCCTTCTCCCAAGTGCTGGTATTCCGTGCTCTCTGCTCCTGTGCCTACGCACACCCCGTGCGTTCTGCAGTCCCGTGTTCCGCTCTCCTGAGGAAAAAAACAACAGGCGCAGCCGTTATGGCACCTACTCCAGCAGGCATACACTTAACAGTACTTGAGACACTGACAATGGAGTCTAACTCAACGATCCTGCACCGGAGGACGCTCCATCGCTCTGTTAAGTAGCTCC